TAAAGTACTGGGATTACAGGCGTGAGCCACCAGGCTCGGCCTCTGGGTGTTTAATATATGTTATTTTCCAATTTCTTTACTGCCACCCTGTGAAAAAGGATCATGCTCTATTTATAGATGAGGAAACTGAGCTCAGAGATGCTATGTAACTTGCCTAGGATTATACAGATAACAAGTGGCAGATTTGGAATCTGAATGCATGTCACCCTGATTTCATTTTCACACGATCACTTCTTCTGCATTGTACATCCTACTTTAAACACAACACACATACCACATTGTAAGCACTGGACTTTGTACAAAGCAGATACTCAGCACATATAAGTCAATGTTTGTGGAGACACTTGGAGAGTTCCAAGACAGACACAATGCTGGAGAATCCTCTCCCTGCCTGTGTTTGTAATATCTCTGGTGGATTTTGTCTTGATAACTTGAGAGTCTGTGGACATCAATTATTTAACAGATACCCCTTGGCTTTTCTAGGACAAAACCAAGAGCCAGGCACGGTGGCTCATTCCTGTAATCCCAGCACCTTGGGAGGCCGAGGCAGGTGGATCACCTGAGGTCGGGAGTTCGAGACCAGCCTGACCAATATGGAGAAACCCTGTCTCTACTAAAAATACAAAACTAGCCAGTCATGGTGGCACATGCCTGTGATCGCAGCTACTTTGGAGGCTGAGGCAGGAGAATCACTTGAACCTGGAAAGTGGAGGTTGAGCTGAGCCGAGGTCACACCATTGCACTCTAGCCTAGGCAACAAGAGCGAAACTCCGACTCAAAAAAAACCCCCAAGTGTTACCCTGAGAGTCACTGTTAGATTCTTACCATGTCACAGACAGTGTGCTGCTGCTTTATACGTACTTTCTTATTTATAAATCAGGAAGCTTTCTGTTGCAAGTAATATAAACCTAACTAAAATTGGCTTAAATAATTACAAAATTCATTCATTTATGTGACTGGAAGGCAAGAGACAGTGTGGTCTCCAGAGAGCTTGATCCACTACCCTGAATGTCTTTCACTTCTATTGTATCCTGTGTGCTGATGGAGGCTGTTCATCCCTGAGGGTTTTGGAGTGAGTTGTCATGTAGGGCCAACAGAGAGAACCCAAGTAACCTCATATTTTGGAGAAGACACCTATCATATGACCTTTGACCTAGAGATTTGAGTAGACAATGGGCTTCTTTCTCAAATTCAGTTTTTTAGGTCCTCTGTCCCAGTATTTTAATTTTCTCTGCTCTCAACCACATGGATGCTCAGTAGAAACATCCCCAGGTTTCAATATCATTTCTTGCAGGAAGCACAGACAGGCTTTTTTTGAAAGAATGCCACTCACTTATTCTCTTGCTCAGCAAACACGGAGCTCCTACTCAGTATGACCTATGCCAGGTGCTGGGCTCAAAGAAATCAAGCGAACCCAGTCCCTGCCCTCAGGGAGCTCTGTAGGGAGACAGACACATGAACCACTAACTATAGGAGGGGTGAATTAAACCCTGTGGGAATTCAGCCTTGTGCTAGGCCGCATAAAGACCAGTCTAGTTAGATTCTAGTGCTTCTGCCTTCATTTCTGTGAGAGTTCCATTGACTAGAAATGCTGTGTGATACTTGTCAGTCCTATGGCGTTGGCCATTGGAACGGTCTTGAAATGTTCAGCAGTTTTCAGTTTCATTGAGATTCGGGAGCAAAGCACCATTTTTTGATTTGCTGAGTTGTTGCTAAATTGTGGCCCAACACCATTTAGGCAGCGTTAACACCCCATGTCCTATCCAGTTTCTGCTTGCATCCATTGATAAATGCTTTTGTTGCGTAACATGGGAGCTCTCATTTTGTAACTAGAGGAAGAGAGTCTTTGATTGGAGCAGGACAGAGAGGAAGTTTCAGTCTTTCTTCCCTCACTGATCCATTGGATGGGTTTTGAACCCCTGTGGTTAGAGGACTGAAGGCCAGACATGGAAAGAACTATTCATGAGAGGGGTTATACAATACTGGGCATTGGCTGGGCACCATGGCTCATGCCTGTAATCCTAGCACTTAGGAGGCTGGGGCAGGTGGAACACTTGAGGTCAGGGGTTCAAGACCAGCCTGGTCAACATGGTGAAACCCCGTCTCTACTAAAAATACAAAAAATTAGCCAGGTGTGGTCGTGTACACCTATAATCCCAGCTACTTGGGAGACTGAGGCAGGAGAATTGCTTGAACCCAGGACGCAGAGGTTGTAGTGAGCTGAGATTGCACCACTGCACTCCAGCCTGGGTGACAGAGTGAGACTCTGCCTAAAAACAAATAAACAAGCAAACAAACAAAAAAAAAAACCCAACACACACATACACACCCCCACCCCAAAACTAAAACACTGGCACACACTGACCTGCTTTAGGGCTTGGTGACAACATATTTGTCAAGCAAGGGAGAAAGACTTCTTCCTCTCCTCTTCTCAGAATTAAACCCAGCTCTGCTTTGGTACCTTGAGGATTAGAAGTTTGGGGAGTATCCAGGATCTGGAGAAAATGACACAGGCACTGGAAATCTTCCGATGGGCACTAAAGTCAGTGAGCTGTGTGGGCAGCAGGCTGGTTGGTAGCAGCTGACTCATGTCTCTGGGTATATGTGAGGCACCTCTTTTGGGACCCTCCCGCCAATAGAAATCACCAAGGACTTTTTGGGAAGGAGGTTGAGGCCTTTGTTATTATGTACGTGGGAGCTTAAGTCAGTGTAATATGGACTGAGGGCAAATGTGACCATACTTTGTAATTGTAATCCCAGAAAACCTGAGCAAATTAAGAAGCAAAGTAAAATGTAGGAACAACTGAAACAAAAAATATTCACAGAGTCAAACTGTAACTGAGTACCCTCATTTTTTCTGAAAGATAGTTTATTATTTCTTTTTTTTCTCTTTTCCTTTCTTATTCCCCCGGTTTCTCACTTTCTACTTAGCCCTTTAAAAAGGCAAATGTAGGCGGGCACAGTGACTCATGCCTATAATTCCAGCACTTTGGGAAGCTGAGGTGGGTGGATCACCTGAGGTCAGGAGTTCGAGACCAGCCTGGCCAACATGGTAAAACCTGTCTCTACTTAAAAATATATATATACAAAAATTAGTTGGTCATGGTGGCAGGCACCTGTAATCCTAGTTCAGTAAGCTGAGGCAGGAGAATTGTTTGATTGCACCATTGCACTACAGCCTGGGTGACAAGAGTGAAACTCCATCTCAAAATAAATAAATCACAAAAAAATTTAAAAAGGCAAATATAGCCTTTTACCTCGTCTTCACCAGACAGTCCCTATAGGGCAAGTTCAACTATGTGCTTAGGAGCTCCAGAAAGGAACTCACCCACCAGGAGAATGCTTTAAGAGATAACATCCAATTTCTACAAAACTCCCTCCCACCAGAAGACTGCCTTGAGAAATATGAAACTCTCTTCCATCTGGGGGTTTTGAGCTTAGATCTGCACAGCGAAGGTGCCAGCAGTCACCAGCTTGACCACCCAGTAGATAAGGAATGCAAACCCCTCCCAGACAACTGCTTGCTTCCTTCGCTTTAAAAGTGCTTGCTTTCTGCTCCACAAGTGAAGCAGTACCTTTGGGAGGAAACCTGTTCTTCTTCCCCTTAGCTAGCTTTGGAATACGTCACTTTTTTTAAACTAGATCTTGCTCTTGTTAATTGAAATCTGCAAGTGGTGAGCGACTAACCCTGTGTTTCGGTTATAAAACTCTAAAGGCCATCTGAAACTTACAAATGAGATGGATAGGGAATTACTTTTTCCTTTACTTCCTTTACTGCATCCCTTTGTTTCCAGATCTTAGTAAGCAATAGTTTCTTCATCTGAAAACTGTGGATTATGATAATTGTCTTGTCTGTTTTAGAAGGGAAACAAAAATGTTGAAATTAATAGGAATAGTTATTGAAACAGGAAAGGGATAACTTGCAGGTGTGAAGCAATCACATGTTGAGTACTCAGTGAAGGCTTTGTTAATTTTTTTTTTTAATCAAAATATTGATTGGGATATTTTATGGGTAGGAGGCTTGAATCCCAGCACTTTTCCAATAGGACAACAGAAGAACCTTGTACCGCCTCAGAGTTTCCTTTTCCCCCAATAATAACCCTAAAGCAAAAGCTTGTATTGTTATCATCGCCATGTGACCGAGGGGAACTCGGAGGTTGGGGACTTAACTGACTTGACATCAAGTCTAAAAAAGGAACAGTGGCAGTTTGAGACTCTGATCTATGACTCCTTCAAGAGTTTAGATTGCTTCCATAGCGACACCTGCACAAACAGTTGGCTGCAAATTACAAGCTATGGAAGAACATTTATAACATGCCAAGAGTTCTTTGCTCAGGCCCAATACTATAGTAGATAAAAGGATATCCTTTGGAACCAGAATCACTGAGTTTGAATCTTGCCTCTGCCACTTGGTAGCTGTGTGACCCTGGCTGGGTACTTAACGACTCTGTCTCAGTTTTTCTGTTTGTAAAATGAGGATAATAACACCTTCTTTGTAGGGTTGTTTTAAGGATTAAATGAGTTAATAGGAGTGAGCCACTTAGAGTAGGGCTTGTTATATAGTAATCTCTATTTAAAATCCTGTCAGATACACCAGAGCAAACACTTTAAAAGTATCTGTTAAATAAATCAGTGAAATAGAATCGGGGCATTGGTGTTTTAAAAGTACTCTCCCACGGTATTCTAGTTTGCAGCGCAGGTTTTAATCTTTGAATGTGGCGCCTTTCGGGATCTTGCCTCGCGAGAAATTGACATTAACCAATGAGTGAAAGGAGCTTTTTTTTTTCCCCCCTCCAGGAAGCTGTGGCCCCTAGAAACTTGTTACCAGCACTCTGCAGAGACCAAGGGGGCGGAGGCACTCTCCTCATCCACCTTTGGGAGTTGTAGTTTCCTATAAGCGCTTGGTGGTCCTGTAGGCCAGCGAAGAACTACAACTCCCACAATCCCGCGCGCCTCCAGCCCTCCCTCCCGCCCGCGATTCTCTCCCGGCTCCCATTACCGCCCCTCGGCGGCGGCTGCGGCGGAGGCATGATGGCCGATGGCGGCGGCCCTTCAGAGGAGCCCGGCACTCGGGGCTCTCCCGGGCCGGCGCCGCGGCTTCCGCGCGCGGTTGGGCCGAGTGGCGGTGGCGGAGAGACCCCGCGGACTGCGGCGCTGGCGCTGCGCTTCGACAAGCCCATCAAGCAGGCCTTTTACAACACCGGGGCCGTGCTGTTTGTGTGCCTGTGTTGCGGCGCCGCGGTGCTGGTCTACTTCATCCTAGAGGCCTTCCTGCGGCCGCTGCTTTGGGCGGTGCTGTGCGGCACCTTCTTGCATCCCTTCAAAAGCTCGCTGACGCGCCTGGGCCGCCACTGGCTTCAGCGCCTGCACCGCGCGCACACGCCCATCGTGCTGGCTGCGCTGCTGCTGCCGCTCTGCTTCGTCGACTACGGCGTCGAGGCCCTGGGCGAGCAGGCGCTGCGCCGCCGCCGCCTGCTCTTGCTGCTCGGCGCCGGCGGCCCGCTCCTGTACGGCCTCTACTGCCTCGGCAGCTACCTGGGCGTGCAGGTGCTGCTGGTGCACGCCGCGGCGCTCATCTGCCGCGGGCTGGACTACTTCAGCAGCCTGTGGGTGAGTGAGCGGCAGCCCGGGCACCCCCACACACTGGGGTGCAATCCTGCAGCTGTTCCTCCTGGTGCAGGGGCGACGAGAGGGGCCACACCTGTGCTGCAGCGACTGTCCGTCTCCGCTTTCCTCTCACACCTCAGGAATTTGGCGCACTTTTCTTCCAAAAATTGGGCGGGCGTGATTTGAAACAGCCTCCCTGCTTCCCGCCTTGCCTCCATCCTAATAGGCCCTCTTAGGGGGACAGTGCCCTGGATTGAGAATCGCTATTCCGCTTTGGAGAGAGAGGCCAGAGCATGGCAGTGGGGCTTAGTTTTACTCCTGGTCGGAGAGGGAGGGGGTACTTCGGCCACCCTCAGTTCTGCGCATCTGAATGTCAGATATGGAGGGGACTTTAGAGATTCTAGGCCAACTTGCCATCCTGCAGATAGGAAAGGTGACCTCTTACCAGTCTAGGGCTGCTTAGGGACAAAGAAGGCGCTGGGTGTCTTAGATTTCTCACAAGTCCTAAAACAAAGCTTGCTTCACTTGCTGGTGCTGCCTGTCAGTTCAGGAGATTTCAGTATAATTTGTGCAAGGCATCGGGTGCTGAGCCGCCTGTGCCTCTTTCTCTCCACGCTTTACTTTTTGGTAACTACTTTTGTTGTGCAGGGACTGGTGTGCCACGGCATACCTCCCGCCTGGAGTAAAGCAGCTGACCGCCTGAAAGAGAAAGACGTAGATTTGATGCTTGGATTACCCTGACCTTGCTCTTAGAAAATTAGGGAGCTTTCGAATTGGAAGGGATTTCAAAGATAATCTAGTGACACAATTCCTAACTCAGACAATATTGTAGACTAGTTAATGATCCACATGTTTAACTGGAACTGTTAAAAACAAGTGGAGATTCAGTGCGTAAGAATACCAATTGATTAGTAAACAGTACCATTTACAAATAAATTTGAATCACTTCTTTTGTAAGTGAAAGTTCAAGGTACCTTGACATCATTAAGTTGCAAAGTATTAATAATTCTTCGTATCTGTCAAGCAGCGTTTTGGCTTGCCTGAGGTTATTGGTAGAGTGGTGAATGATCCAGAACTCCCGTGCGCTCTCCTGTTCTCTCAATACCACCTCTTGGTTCATGTTTAAAGTTGATTGAGCATATGTTAGGTACTGGGCTTTGTGAGGGATTTAAAAAAGGAATAAGATACGGGTCCTGACTTCAAATCCTATATGAGCTTCTTTTTTTTTTTTTTGAGACGGAGTCTCGCTGTTGCTCAGGCAGTGTCGCGATCTCTGTCTCCAGTCACTGCAACCTCCACTTCAGTGTTCAAGCGATTCTCCTGCCTCAGCCTCCTGAGTAGCTGGGATTACAGGTGCCCACCACCACGCCCAGCTAATTTTTGTATTTTTAGTAGAGACAGGGTTTCATCATGTTGGCCAGCTGGTTCAATAAAAATTAGCTGGGCGTGGTGGTGGACGTCTGTAATCCCAGCTACTCGGGAGGCTGAGGCAGGAGAATCGCTTGAACCTGGGAGGCAGAGGTTGCAGTGAGCCGAGATTGCGCCACTGCAGTCCAGCCTGGGTGAGAAGAGTGAAACTCCATCTTAAAAAAAAAAAAAAAAAAAAAAAAAAAAAAAAAAAAAAAAAAAAGCTTGAAATTCAAGCTGTTTGGCTCAAGTGTTGGGAGCAAGGAAAAAGAGAGGGTTAAAAAACCCAACAAACTCATCATAAAAGAGTACGAGTTAAGAAGTGAGTAGGGAGTGGTAGAAGGGCTAAATCTGAAAGGCTCCAAGTCGATCTTAGTTTAAGAGAAATGAGGCATGGAGTTGCGTTCTGCTCAAGCAGCACTTAAGGATGGATAGTTGGATGGGGGTGAGGTGTACCTGGGAAGACAGGGACTCCTTGCTCTCATCTAAAACTGCTGATGAAGGCCAGGCAGGGTTGCCCATGCCTGTAGTCCCAGCACTTTGGGAGGCCTACACTGGTGAATCACTTGAGGTTAAGAGTTTGAGATCAGCTTGGCCAACATGGTGAAACTCAGTCTCTACTAAAATTACAAAAAATTTGCCAGGCATGGTGGCGCACGCCTGTGGTCCCAGCTACTCGAAAGGCTGAGGCACAAGAATCTCTTGAACCCAGGAGGTAGAGGTTGCAGTGAGATGAGATTGTGCCACTGCACTCCAGCCTGGGTGACAGAGCAAGACGCTGTCTCCAAAAAAACAAAAGTGCTGATTAAAGGCCAGGCCACAATGACTTAATGCCTGTAATCCCAGCACTTTGGGAGGCCAAGGCAGGAGGTTTGCCTGAGCACAGAAGTTTGAGACCAGCCTGGGGAACATAGTGAGATGCCCCCACCCCCCTTTTTTTTTTTGTAAAGCGCTGATTAAGGCCTGACATGAAGTGAAAGTAGGTTATGTGACTGGGCAGGAGGCCCACTCTGGAACTTTTCCATTCCACAGTTCACAGTGGTTTGGCTTTATAAGCCCAAGCAGGACTGCCTGGTATAGAACAGTGGTCTTTATGCTTTCTAGGCTACTTTAACCGTGAGCCTGCTGCTGAAGAGCAGTATAGATGAGAGAGGCAGAGAGAAAAGTTACCTTTAAGTGAATCCCTGTTTTGATGAGCTGACAGTTCATCCATTTAAAATCCAGCTTTTGAGCATCTACATGTCCCAGACACTAGATTAAGTTCTTTTACATGGGTGTTACTTCTTTCTCACAACAGTCCTGTGAGGTAGGAGGGAGGGATTTCATATGTAAGAAAACTTTTAGAGATTGATCTGTTCAGGCTGTCAGTAAATGGCATTCAATAGACCTAGCAGCAGTTGAAGTCCTGCTCAAAACTTTTTGTAGTAACTAGCCTTCAATAAGGATTTTTTAAAAGTTTTCCCTAATACATTGTGTTTAATTGTTTTTCATATAAATGGATTCTAGGCCGAGCTTGGTGGCTCACACCTGTAATCCCAGCACTTTGGGAAGCTAAGGAGGACTGATCACCTAAGGTCAGGAGTTTGAGACCAGCCTGGCCAACGTGGTGAAACCCCATGTCCACTAAAAATACAAAAATTATCCGGGTGTAGTGGCAGGCGCCGTATTCCCAGCTACTTGGGAGGCTGAGGCAAGAGAATTACTTGAACCCGGGAGGCGGAGGTTGCAATGAGCTGAGATCGTGCCATTGCACTCCAGCCTGGGTGACAGAGCAAGGCTGTGTGTTAAAAATAACTAAGTAAATAAGTGGATTCTAGTTACTAGGAAAAAACCAGAATGATATTAGGAATCTAGAAACCTTAGTCATCTCTCTGCTTTCTTCTCTTTTGTCTTTATATCTGTGTGGTTTTCCAGGTACTGTCAGTTTTTTTTTGTAGTGTCCTCGGGACCTGTGTTTTTCTCTTTTTCTTTTGAGACAGAGTTTTACTCTTGTTGCCAGGCTAGAGTGCAATGGTGTGATCTTGACTCACTGCAACCTCCACCTCCCAGGTTCAAGCGATTCTCCTGCCTCAGCCTACCGAGTAGCTAGGATTACAGGAAACTGCCACTACCCCTGGCTAGTTTTTTGTATTATTTTTAGTAGAGACAGAGTTTCGCCATGTTGGCCAGGCTGGTCTTGAGCTCCTGACCTCAGGTGATCCACCCACCTTGGCCTTCCAAAGTGCTGAGATTACAGTTGTGAGTCACTGTGCCTGGCCTGGACCTATTTTTTTCTTTGTCACAAGTTTATCCCTCCAGTTCAGTTCCTCTTCACATCACTTGTAGATTTCTTCAGTTTCCTAAAACTCCAGGCCGCTTACAAGTGAAAAACTAATCATTTATGGGATGAGTAATTCTTTTCAACAGTTTCAAATATGTTAGAAGATTGTACTGACTTAGTGACTTCAGAACACTTAAAAAAAAATCAGCTGTTGCACCAGGTTCACATATTACTCAGTTCTTGGCATCTTCCCGTGGTGGAGTTGTGCAAGGTAAATTTGAAAAAGCTGATGATGTGCCCTGCTCCACCATTACTCTCTCTTGGGGGACATTCTGATCTTCCTCACTGTGTTAATGTAGACTTGGTAGAAAATTTGAAGACCATTTAGTTTTTGGAGTAGTAGCAGATTTGTTTTTTCTGTGGTCCCTGATCTCATTGTTTACATCTTTTTAAAGAAGCATGAGGTGGAAAGAATAGTGGCTGAAAGATCAAAAAACCTTACGTTCTAAACTTGGCTCTGCCACTAACTTTGTGACCTTGGGCAGACCAGGTCCCTCCTCTGGGATGTTCAGCCCCAGTTGTGTGAAGTGAGGGGTTGGCTTGAACAATTTCTGAGATTTCACGATGTTCTATTTTACAGATCGTATGAGACTTTGCAGCAGTAGACATTAGCTGTTCAGTACTGATGCTGTTCCACTTTTAAATGTTTCTAGGTTTGTTTCTGCTTGTCTGGCAGCAAGAAACAAGAAGAGAAAAGTTTCCAGTGCTTAGTTTTCTCAGTTAAAGGCTTCAAATATAAAAAAAAGTTGCCATATAACAAAGAGAACAGTTTTCACATTAGAATTAAGTGGTTAATTGAAGGACCCAAAGCAGTTGCTGCTTGAGACCATGATTAGGGTTGTGGCTCTATAACTTGGGAGGAGGTCTATAGTTTACCACCCCTGACCCCGAACTTTCGCTCTTGTTGCCCAGGCTGGAGTGCAATGGTGCAGTCTCAGCTCACTGCAACCTCAGCCTCCCAGGTTCAAGCGATTCTCCTGCTTCAGGAGTAGCTGGGATTACAGGCGCCTGCCACCACGCCTGGCTAATTTTTTGGATTTTTAGTAGAGACAGGGTTTCACCATGTTGGCCAGACTGGTCTTGAATTCCTAACCTCAGGTGATTCACCTGCTTCAGTTTCCCAAAGTGCAGGGATTACAGGTGTGAGCCACTGTACCCAGCCTGTAGTTTTATTCTCTCTGAAAAAAGCTTAGGAAACTGTTTTGCAAAAATGGGTAACAGAAGCAAACCAAATTGTTTTTTCAGTTAATGCCCAGATGACAATAAATGAAACAAA